CCACAACCAGTATCCACTTTAGTTTTTAATTTTCCCACCTCCTTACCAACCTCTATGTCCCAATGCATAAATGTTCCCTTGTGCCCGCCTTCCCCTTGAAATGGTCTCATGGTTTTATTTAAAAACTCAGAACAGGTGGCCGGTTGGAAGCGCCGCTGCCCCGTTCCCTTTATTTCTGCGGCGTTTTTCCTTTTAGCCGCCCAGACATCGGAGCCATCATCCAGCCGGGCTAGGAGTGTAGCTACAACGGCAGGAAAGGGGCCTTCACCACCAAGGGAGTGTACATTGCTCTCCGGCCACCAAACCCAGGCGGGGCGTTCAAAAGAGAAGGCACCAACTTTACAGAGAGGTGGAGGAAAACGCCCAGGAAACAGGGGAGAAAGGAAAACGAAATAAGCGGGGTCAGTCGTAGCTTCTATTTTGGTTTGCTGGGCCTGCGAAGTACCTTTGTTCCACCAAGCTTTCATGGTTAACCAGGCAAGACCGACAGACACGGAGCTACTTGAATTAAGCAAAACCACACTAGAAAATACCCAAGCCCACGCACACAGGAAAAGTTAGTAAAGGAACCCTCTTCAAACCTTTTGGGGGGTTTTCCCTTCCGGCACGAGGTTAATGGTTGATATTGTTAAAAAAGTTTCCTGAAACATAATGAATCACTATGGGCATCACGCTTCTATTGGGCTAGCACTATTGGTAATTTTTTATGTATGTGACCAAGACGGGGCCCCAGGCTAAACAATCAGAGGGCAGACGGGCCTGGTTCAGACAGAGGGTTGAACAAGAGGCTGGACAGCAACAGGGGCAGGGCATGAGAAAAATTAAAGAGCTTTTTGAAAGCGTTAAAAGCGTGGAAAAAACAGTAGAAGACATACATACTGATATACACCCCTGGAACAATTCAGGCCAGGGAAGGGACTCCTTGTAAGAGTAAATGGGAGACCACCATACTACATATACACCTGAACATCAAGGCAGAGACTCTTTAAGGTGGAGACAAACATACTGATATACACGGACACAGTCGAGGCAGGAGAGACTCCGAAAGGTGAAGACGACTACATACTATATACACGCCCCTGAGACATAGCTGGAGAGGGAGCTCTTTAAACAGGAAGGTAGAGCACACTACATACTGATATAGACCACCTTAACATTCCAGCAGGAAGACTCTTTGAGAGCATAGAACGATACATAGTCTCGATATCACCTTGAACATCAGGCAGGGAATTGGAGGGACTCTTTAAATATAGACCAACTACATTTACTGATCATACACCTGGAACATTCAGCAGAGAGAACTACTCCTATAGTAGCACTACATACTGACTATACACCCCTGGAAACATTCCACCAGGAGAGGACTCTTTAAAGTAGAGACACTACATACTGATATACACCTGAACATCAGCAGGAGAGGACTCTTTAAAGTAGAGACACTACATACTGATATACACCTGAACATCAGCAGGAGAGGACTCTTTAAAGTAGAGACACTACATACTGATATACACCTGAACCTCAGCAGGAGGACTCTTTAAAGTAGAGACACTACATACTGATATACACCTGAACATCAGCAGGAGAGGACTCTTTAAAGTAGAGACACGACATACTGATATGAAGCTGGAAATGAACATAATGTCCTCTTTAGTGTTCATGTTGTGTATTTTATAATGAAAGCGCTTCCAAATGAAAAAAATCGAATCTAATTGTCACAAAATATCTCACACTGCCGCAGTAAAACAGTTATAAAATCCTCTCCCAAATATGGATAAAAGAGAAGGATCCTAGTTGAGTGGAGAGAACAACAAAGGAAGCCCGGGCTTGGATCCAAATTAGAGGAAAGATGAAGATATGAAAAGATCAAACCCGATATGAGGAATGAGAAAAAAGGAGAGGAATTGGCGAACGCTGACATCCAGCTGAGCCTCACTGAATCAAATTTTAAAGGCGACTCGAGGCAAAAATCGCCTGCAACTTACTCGGGGAAATAATGAAAAGAATCAAGAAAGAGCCCACACACAGAGTAAGTGTATATATCTATATATATATCTTCATTTATTTTAATATTTAAACCCACTAAAAGTTGTCAATACAACTTTTGAATGAAAGGCACAGGAAAAATCAGACAATGCTGATATAATACTCAAAGAAAACAAAGAAATTACAGTACAAAAGTGGACAGTTAATTACGCACGTACAAATCCCTCCAGGTCCTCCATTCAGAGGAAATATTTCTGACACAACAAAAGGAGGGGGGGGGTTCAAAACCAGAAATCCATTAGCCAAACGTCTCTTTATTGCTTTTCCTCGTTGACAAGTTTAACGTCAGCTCCCAGGGTCTCGCAAATTGCAAAAAAGCAACCGCTGTGCTTTCCAGTTTCCCCCCGAACATGGAGTGGCTCATAGTTACTTGATTATCTGTTGACCGAGCTACACACAACTCCACTGGGCCTGATTCACAACATCTAAAACAGATGAAATACAAAACACACCAAGCCGAAGAGGGGTTTTCTTTAAGACCTCTCGTACTCCATTACCAAACAAGCCTGTATTTGTGATTTAATTCGTTCGGTCCGCCGAGAGTAAAATCAACCGAAACCGCTAAGTGGTGCTGAGCGTTTAAATATTAAAACAGAGATTTCTGGGCTGCAACATTTTAAAAGCGCAGGTCAGAAGCTGCTTCTGGAGCAGGGAATCATTCGGGATCCCTTTTTTAACATCGACTTGATGGAGGTAAGTGCGCTCAACACCAGCGGGAGGCGTTTGACACTTCATTTATCAATTAAACACATTTTTAAGGAGAACTCGACACTGGAGGCCGCTGCTTTGCTTTTATTGTGTTTTCTAGACCTCTTAAGAATCACTTCATTTCCCTCTTTCATTCAGTCGAGATGTTTTTTAGCAGAAAGAAAAAGCATCCATCGTTGGTTTATTATATGGGAGGTCAACAAAGCAGAGGGGGGTTATTATAATGCGACGTCTTTGAAATCAGCCTGCCATCTTTTATAGGATTGTGTACACATTGCTTTGGACAGCTCTACAGGGGAACAACTGGAGGGAGAGGTGCTGTCACTCTGTACTGCTCAGGTTCTTAATATTACATATAGCCTCTTTGGTATAGGCACATCTGCATCAAGGGACCAATGTCCAATATTTCCCTTCCTATTCCTATGTGCAGCTGTCTCACTCTTCCTATTGGAAAGGAACAAAAAAACACTCAAAAGGATGATTGCCAACTGGAACCTGGAAATCAAGTGATTGATTGGAGAAGCAGGAAATTAGACTTATATAGCTGTCAAGGGTTTTCTTTTGCTCCTGCATGAAAAAACCAACCCCCCCCCATCCCGACCCCCTGCCTCTCCTCTCGACCTGCCGCCTGACAGCAGGAGATTCATGCTGCTCCGCCTTCCCTGCAGCCATGCTACAGCGAAAGCAAAAGCCATGGCACAGCAGAAATGTTGACGCACCAGTATGCTTAAACTCAGCCCTGAATAAAATAAAGAGAGATCCTGGGTGCGAAATAAAACAGATTCAATGTTATAAAACAGCAGTTCAGGGGGGGGGGGGGTGGTCTGTGCGACGTCGATGCCCTTGTTGCTAGGATACTCTGGTTTGCGGTAGCTCGAGTCCAATGTAGCGTGAGTACCAGAGCCCTTTTTCCCCCCAACCCACGGATGGCAGCCCACCCTGGGAGAGGAGAGGTCGCCTCACCCCCTCTCTGCCCTGGTTCTGAAGAGGCCACACTCCTCGTCACCACAGTCAGGTGAAAGCTAAACTTAATCTGCTTTTCATGTTTGGATTCTTACACTTCCTGATGCAAGACCCTCTGACCGCACAAAGGGGAGCGAATGACATCGTGTAGGAGAACCAGGAGCGTGAGAGTTCGGAGATGATGAGCACAGTCTCTCTGGGGCGAACGCCGACTACGTTCATTACCTGGCCGTGACGGAGGAGGACGAGGCGGCCAGCTGGGTGAGGTATTCCCGCAGCTCTTTGGCCGCCTGGAAGCGTCCGTATCGCTTTTTGGGTCGTGTGCACTCGTCCAACAGGCTCTCCAGCTGGCCGTCTTTGGCTATGTGGGCGGGGGGGTCGTGGAGGAGGCCCCCTGTGGTGCCCCGCCACGTAGCATAGCGCGACAGCAGGTTCTGGCACACGGCGTAGTAGTTGTGGTCCACGGTGACCCGGGTGCAGAGCGAGTCTTTGGAGAAGGACAGGCAGGCCTCGCGGTCGCATTCCTCGAATCGACTCTCGTACCACACGTCGAAGTTCTCCGGCTTATCTGCAGGAGACAGGAGAGGAGGGTCAATTAAAACACAATGATCAGAATGAATGTCCTGGTTCTAACACAGAGCATATAGGACAGATAACCAACCTGCAGTTTACAAGTTAGAAAGCTTCTCAGATATTCCTTTCCTTTAACTGTTATTAAAATGTCAAACAGCTACAGGTTCAAAACTGATCTTGAAAGAATACACCTAACTGTTGGACAGCATAAGAAGAACTATTCTAGTAAAGGTTTGTGCAAATTATTAGCCAAGAAATCAACGTGACTAGAACGGTAAGGTGCCATATTCGACAACCCAAGGGCACCAACGGGAAATTATTTTCCCCCCGCACAAAGCCAAACAACTCATCTGCACTTTGATTTGACAGAAATGAACCACTTCCCAGATTTATTGGGCAAATAAAGATGCTTTCTCAAGCTCATTTCCCACAGCTTTTCCTCTTTAGGGGATTGTGCCGTGAAAAGGAGAGAGCCAAGAAGCTAGGAATGATGAGAGAGCGATCGGTTTGTGCATTAAAACGCAGATCGATAGTGTTGTCGGGCGAGAGAGGAGGGGGCGGGACCCAGAGGACGCAGAGACGTAATCAGAGAATCAGCGTTTGTAATGCACTTCTCCTCCGGCTCATCAGAACAACTCAATCAAACATCCAGCGCCGCCCTGTTAGCAAGGGGCCCCTGTGGCCCCCGAAGAGGAGGGGCACATCAACCTCAATCAGTGGAGGTGATGGAGATGGATCTGCGTGTGTGTGTGCATGAACACGACCGCACACACACACGCACATAGAGACGTTAGCGTGGCAGCAGCAAGGTGAGGTGAAAGCAATTAATGTTTCAGAGCTGGCCATGCATCAAACCGCAGCAGTGATTGACAGATGGCATCGGGAGAGTGTTCCTAGACACACACACACACACACACACTGACAGAGGGCCTAAAGTGAACAGAAGGGAGGGGAAGGTTCAAACTCAAGGACGACGATGAGCACAGCAGAAAAAGTACTTTCAACTGCAAGAAGTCTGAGGTCTATTTACTTCCCCCCCGATCCCCTCTGCTCCGCTCTTACAGCTGGCCTAACAAAGCCGGAATATTTCCAAAGCAAATGAAATCATTTCCAATTCAAATGAGCGGGGGCCACCTCGCCTCTCTCGCCTCCTGCACCTTCCATGTTAAGGAGCTCGGGTCAGACTCGTATACATTCACCTCACACTTCTTCTCCTCTCTGCAGCGAGGAGGGACACCGGTCTGAAATGCTTGTTAGCGCGGTTACTTGCATTCAGGAGTACGAGCATGTTTTAACAAAAGCAGCTCCCTGTTAGAGTGCATTATTGAATGTGGGAGAAAGAAAGAAGAGTGTCTGTGAAGTGTGTTTGCATGTGCCAGGCAGCGGAGAGAAGGAGTGACGTGTGTGTTACATTATACAGCATGTGTCTCCAAATAAAAACACTCACTGGGGGTGACACCGTCCTCAAACACTATAAACTCAATGATGGGGAGTGGGTTCTTCCGCACCACTGGACTGTGCAAACACAACTTGGAAACAGAGTTTATCTCGCTGCATCCATATGAAGGCCCCGGACAAGAGGGGTGTGTGTTTTCGTGTGTCTCTCTGCGTGGTTGCAGATCAATTGGCGTCGGTTACGACTGATGAGATCACACACTTTAACTCGCCTTCAATCTCGGCCTCTAATTGTAAGGGATTGGATTTTCTGCTTGTGGAAACCTCGGGGAGGTTACGGCGCCTATTTCCTGTCCGACACGTGGCCGTGACCTCGTAATATTCATCACACACCCTCTCCTTTGACACACACACACACACACACACACACACACACACACACACACACACACACACACACACACACACACACACACACACACACACACACACACACAGGGTAAGCAGCTTGAGTCACCGGGCTCTAAATGTGTCGGCCAGACAAAGAGAGTCTCAACCTGGATTGTGCTTCTGGACGTTCAAAGGGATACTGTAACGGGGGTGGAAAATTGCAGCCACTGGCAATAAGAGGAATATAAATACAGTTTTAAAAACACGGCACACACACCGGCTTAATCACAGAGAAAAACTACAGGGGAGTGCCTTCACTTTTCACACTTCTATATTTGTTTTCTGCTGACTGATCGTGTAATTTGGCAAAGTGGCACTTAATCTCAGGATAAATTCCACACACACACACTGGTGGATACCCTGGCGACACAACAGTTTGTCACTGTAATAGGATTTCTGCAGGAGGGGATACATCTAAAAGGCCTGACTGGGTGGTCCTTGTGAAGTAGCCCCCAGGAAGTAGCACACTGCCATGCTGAGGGGGTGATGTATAGCTTACTCCTTGTTATGAGGTTTATTCTGAGAGGAAAACTAGGGCAGCAGAGATGGCTTGTTAGCCGAACTTTGCTTTGATTGGGACGCGTGTCGGAGGGGTTTCTGGAGGAGTGTATTCTTAGAAGAAGAGGGAGAATTTGAGCATGTGTGAATTTGCACACAGCCTTTCAGTCCCCTGAGACCTTTCCTCGAACCTTGCATCAGAAAGTGCAGTTGATGGTCGACACATACAGCGCAGTGTTTTCTACAGAGTTCAATATGTGTTCAGTGTTTGAATCAAAGCGAGGCTTTTGAGGAACAACTACTGCATGAGAAGACAAGCAAAGAACTTTTACTTTTACTGTCGCTACTTTCACTATATTTTGATGAGAATACTTTTCTACTTTCACTTGAGGAACATTTTGAATGCAGCACTTTTAACTTTTAACTTTTAACAGAGTATTCCTACACTCTGGAACTTCTACTTTTACNAGGAGGTACTACCTACGGAGAGTGAAACTCAAACCTAGTCGTAATATTATTTTTTTTATACTCTGTTATGTTAGACGAAAAAACACGATGGATTAGGTGTAAGGGGTTCGGTCTTCTGTGTGTACGCGACAAGTTCAGTGCGAAAATCGTGACTTTTAGTAACTTACGACACCATCCTTAAAAGACTCTTAAGTCATGAAACTTTTGACGGTGATTCACTCTGAAGTGTGGGGCCGATAACTCATTCAATTCATTATTCCTGTTCTGTTGACCACTGTCGTGTCACCTGTCTTATGTAAATTGGTTACAATAAACTTATGTTTGACCATATGGTACACTATGTTCCGACAGTATGAAATTCAATACAGTAATATAGGTAGTTCTATTTGTTTAGACATAGATAATGTTCATAAAAGAAACAAAGGGAGTAATCTCCCTTATCAATCCTTTCGATAGAAGCATTATTTATTGTTGTATAGATGTCATTTGACTACAGAATGGGGATTCCGTTTCGATAACTACAATACCAAAAGCCAAAATCTGCCCCGTTTCGTATGGGTCAACTACGCGCTTACGGTTATAGTGAACAGCAGCGGCCTTATCGGATGTCATATGTTTCCTTGAGTATACAGAAAACTTCCTATACTTCTGTTTTCAATAGTGTAGAGCATTATACGACGGAACAGTTGGAGAATGAATATTGTCCCTAGGAATAGCTACGTTTTACGTGAAAACATAGCAGGAAAGTAGATGTGGGTGAGACTTATACAGGGGGGGGGTCGGCCACGAAGGTCCCTTGCGTGGTTCACAGTTTTGTGTGGGAGGATGATAAAAGAGGGTATGGGGTTTAGTGATTTTTTGTCCCCGACGTATGTTGCCTAGAGCTGATTGTCCTGACTAGTCTAGAACGTTGTGAAGATACTGCAGTGTCTATTCACCGCGATGCCGAAACCGGTGTGAGGTGGTTAGTCCTCCTCTGTCGGTGCCTGTAACGGCAACCTTTCGCGACCTGCGACATTCATGTGATACGTCCGGAACATCTACCACGACAAGAGTGTCTTAGTCGGGTACTACGTTCTGTCACATAATTTAAGCTCGCTCTACGTACCTTACCGATTTTACGTACTTGAGACAAACCGATAAAACTTTTTATTTTCATATTGATACGGAATATATCCATGCCAGGATGTGAGTATATTAAGTTTATGATGAAAGTACTACTCAAGGTGAGAATTCCATTGTCAATTACCTTATGGGCCTGGTCCTTCACACAGACAGTGTGACTGTCACGTAACACAACCAAGATCTAGTTTTAAGAGGAGTCATCAACCGTAAGTGATAGGGGAGTCCCAAGGATAAATAAGACGGAAGGAACTTGAGGATGCGATTTCGATTGTTGAGAAAACAAGGAGGCAGCAGTGCTCACGTCTCACGTCTCAAAGCAACTCATAACCGGGGAGCAGAACCATCTGACTTTAACACGTAACACGGAGCGCCTGCAAGTTGCACCCACTAACATCTGAGCTGATGAGGATCGGGCGGGATTAAAGCTCTTTAATCCAGGAGAGCTGACTGTCCACACACAGGAACAAGCAGCAACATGGCAGCATTTACACACACACACACACACACACACACACACATCCACCTGCTTAACTACACACACAGCACTGAGCTCCGTAATGAAACCTGTCCTGTGTGAGGCTCTGTTATCTGTCTGTGCCAGGCTCCAGCTCTGTGGGCAGCAAACAATGAAGATTTCAGCGCTGACCAGCCTACCGAAACTCACACAAACACATCAAACGTCTTAATGTCAATGAAAGGACGTGAGGGGTGGACCTTGGACCCAGGACACGGTTTAAGAGCCTGAATCTGACGTGTGCAGTGCCATGTTTCTGCACTTCAAATAGCCTGAGTAAACCGACAAAAGACACACATTAAAGTTAGACTTGCTGCTTTCAAGACTTAAATGAACTAAGTATGACCTTCACGAATAAAGGGGTAGAATGGTCAACTTTGTAATCCAAGTTGAAGTTCAGAGTTCGACAGTAGTTGCTGAATTCGTTCCCTCCCTTCAAAAAAGCTTGTTATTTTTCTCATGCTGCAGCACCTCTTTTCACCCTCTGTCTGAAACCAGAGCCCAGTCTGCTCTGATTGGTCAGCTGGCTGGCTCTGCTCTCATAGGTCAACTGAGAGATGCCCCTTAGCCAATCACGTACAATGTGTTAGAGCACTGGCCAATAGAAGTGTTATATATAGTGATGTCACGATGTTCTGGAAGTAAACAAAGGAGTCCAATGGAAGAATGCAATCAAACAAGGCTGTAATGTAATAATGATGACTTTTCTTGGCATGGTTTGTAACAGAGTGCAGCCAAATGACTGAGGTATGAATAATTTAAACCTTTTAATGTTCCTGAAAACAATATTCTCCTTAAAAAAGGTTGGTCACAGGTTCTAAAGCTGATTTAGAAAAGCACCAAACATAACAAAACCTGCATTTCCAGGTAAAAAGATTTGCGTAAATAAACAGAAACCAAGTCAATATTAAACTATTTTTATAGTGTGTGTGGGCTAAATACATAATGATGATACTGGTTCACATATTCAGAATAAATATGTGTTTAAACATTGATATTTACACAACTACAAAGTCACAAGGTAAGCAGCCTGAAGTCGTTTTAACGCAGGTGTTTATCCGTGGGAAAGCCACTGTTTTGTAACGTAATGCCTCTGCAGGTGTCACGATATAAAAAGGCAGTGACACCCAGTCTGACTCCAGTGTGTGCATTCGACTGTGCACACACACAAGTTGTAGCCTGCAGTGGAGTTAAGTGTTTGAAAACAAGACGAGAAATATTGCTTCACTGCTCACACACAGCTTTATTTAGGTCACATAACGTTGGGCTCGCTGCAGTGATAGGCTGCACGGCGAAGAGGAGGAAAACACTTCAACGGCTCCAGCGCCGAGGCTTCTGTGCAACAAGTGTTTATATCCAATGTGTCATGCATATATGAAAACATAGCTTAAGGTTTGTTTTTTAAATATGAAAGAAATGTAGTTTTTTTTGTGAAACTGCAAATGGACACGGCAGGGAAGCCAGATTGTTCGGTAGTCACTGTTTTATTAAAAACATCCCGATTTGAAACAGCTGTGTTTTGGTGCTGGAGTTTCACAACCTGAAAACCACACTTTTTTTGTAAATGACTACCAGATGGAGATTAGTAATGGATCTAATTTTATCTATTCATCTGTTTACAAACATTTGAATCAGTCTTTTAAATGTCAGAGGGTATTTGGTCTAACTATACTGTAAAATGTATTATCTCTTCGATTTACACACGGCATCTATTGCAGGTCTGTCCGTCCTGGGAGAGGGATCCCTCCTCTGTTGCTCTCCCTGAGGTTACTCCCATTTTCCCCTTTACACTGTGGGGTTTTTTCTCTAGAAGTGTTTCCTTGTACGATGTGAGGGTCTAAGGACAGATGTCGTATTGTCATACTGATATTCTGTACAAACTGTGAAGTCCACTGAGACAAATGTAACATTTTTGATATTGGGCTATATAAATAAATAATTGATTGATTGATTGAGAGGAAGGAGACATCTCCAAATCGCTCCCCAGAGATATTCCATTTATGACAAGAAACACAATAAATGCTCACATTTCAGAAGCTGAGAAATAAAAAAATGAAAGCTGTAC